CTTCGGTGCAATTTTAAGCGATAACTGAACATAATGCTGCAACACAGATCATGTTATATAATCTCATGATGTGGGCAATTTTTTTATTTCTGTGTCCAAAATGATGGGGGAACAGAATTTTATGGGGGATCAGGATTTAGACAACACAGGATCATTTTGACCTGGATTAAATGTTTTGAAAAACTGGGCCCAGGAGGCTGAAAATACTATCTTAAAAAACTTGAACAATGACGTGGAATTTTGTTGCAATGTATCAAAAGTGGACTAATGAAAAATATATGTTTTTTTTTGTTCTCGAGTAAAGTGTCCCTTTAAGGGTTATACATCCACCATCAACAATTCATATTACCAAAAAGCTTAAAAGAAACAAGTTTCTGAAATAATAAACTGATGGTTCTGGGAACTCATTGTGATTGTATATTACAAGTAAGGTGCCACAGGTAACAGATAGAAAGAGAGTTGATTGTTTTCTTCGTCTGCCTGTGTGTAGTGAGCCTTTGATACTCCAGTGAGGTCCTGAGGGAGAAAATCAACTCTGACAAAACTAGGCCACAGAGTTCTACAGCGGAGAGTTTCTATGACACGGGTGACTGAAAGCCATAATCTCTCTCTTTCTCGCTCTCTGTCTCTCTTTCCCTCTCTCTCTCTGATGGCTCAAGAGGAATTATTCTAACTTCTCATCTTCTCTCTGCTCTCTATGAGTACATTGAGTATATTTGTACATTTCAAAGGGGTCAGGCATAGCCTACGAAGTCAAGCCACATTAGTAGCCCGTTTTGGCTACTCACACCATAGGCTAGCTAGGCTACTCTCTCACTGTCGCGGGGGGAACCCAGGTTATAACTCAAAAGCCAACGCTGGAATGCAAACACACCAATGTGGCTGCACTGTAAACAAACATTGGCTGACCTGCTCCCCATGACTGCTGCTGACTTCCTTAAGATTCCCAGTGCCAGGTGCAGGTGTAAAAAACACATTTGTGGCAGGAGGCCTTTGTAATTTTAGAAATGTACAAAGGCCTAGTGCCGTCAACGACGATAGCAGGCTGAGGTTAATTTAGAGCCAGATCATCTAAGCTCAGGCTCCCACAGCTGGGTCGTATTCATTAGTGCAAAATGTAGCAAAAAGTGTTAGAACGGATTTCAGTCTGTTTTCTTCCGTTTGTGCCTAGTGAATATGACCCTGGTGAGAAAAACATGGATTGCTAGAGCCAGGGAAGTGTGAAAAGAGGGAAGAGAGGGAAATAAGGGAGGTCATACGGTTGTTTTCACTGAAGCACACAGTCATGCAGAGTGGGTTTGGTCTTTTCGGGACACAGCTGTGTTTACCCCTCACACATCACTTCAAGACCCCAAGACCAGAGGGGCAGCCGGGCAGGAGCCACTACCATGGGCCCCTGTGGTTATAGTTGAATACAGAGCAGAGATACAGATGGATGGTCTCTAGATCATTGTTTCCAAAACCTCTCCCAAAGTACCAGCATCAGTGCTTAACAAACCCCTGCTCGAGGACCCCCCGCTATTCCACATATTGGATCTATTCCAGTACTAGCACCCCTGATTCAACTCATTAAAAACGTTGACCAGTTGAATCAGGTGTGCTAGTACAGGAATATATCAAATAAATGGAACAACTGGGAGTACTTGAGGAAACGTCTGGGAAACACTGCTCTAGATAATGTAACCCAGAGCTATATAGATAGATAGTTTGGCAATTGCTTTTGCAAACCTCTTCACTGAGGGGGCCAGCTGGAGGCCAAGATGCGACCAATATCGACAACGACTATATCCTAAACATTTTTTGCTTATAATCATAATATGATTTGCCTGCTTAATTGCTTACACATAACTTAAAATGGTCTGAAGTGTTTTCCATAACCCGGTGACCCAGATGTCAGGACACCAAATTCTAGGTCAGGAGCTGACAGTCCAACCTTGATCTTGCTAAACTGCTGAATTTCACTCTCTGTATCATGAAACATGACAAAGTAGCAGAAATCTCAAGAAGTCTCACTGTTCTCATTGTTCAAATGAAATGTAGTAATAATATAATGTTCTAAAAATGTTTCATTAAATAATAAACAAATTATAACCCCTTAAAGGTAACCTTACTGCAAAGTGTTACCAGAACAGGATATACACTGCTCAAAAAAATAAAGGGAACACTAAAATAACACATCCTAGATCTGAATGAATGAAATAATCTTATTAAATACTTCTACTTTACATAGTTGAATGTGCTGACAACAAAATCACACAAAAATGATCAATGGAAATCAAATGTATCAACCCATGGAGGTCTGGATTTGGAGTCACCCTCAAAATTAAAGTGGAAAACCACACTACAGGCTGATCCAACTTTGATGTAATGTCCTTAAAACAAGTCAAAATGAGGCTCAGTAGTGTGTGTGGCCTCCACGTGCCTGTATGACCTCCCTACAATGCCTGGGCATGCTCCTGATGAGGTGGCGGATGGTCTCCTGAGGGATCTCCTCCCAGACCTGGACTAAAGCATCCGCCAACTCCTGGACAGTCTGTGGTGCAACGTGGCGTTGGTGGATGGAGCGAGACATGATGTCCCAGATGTGCTCAATTGGATTCAGGTCTGGGGAACGGGTGGGCCAGTCCATAGCATCAATGCCTTCCTCTTGCAGGAACTGCTGACACACTCCAGCCACATGAGGTCTAGCATTGTCTTGCATTAGGAGGAACTAGGGCCAACCGCACCAGCATATGGTCTCACAAGGGGTCTGAGGATCTCATCTCGGTACCTAATGGCAGTCAGGCTACCTCTGGCGAGCACATGGAGGGCTGTGTGGCCCCCCAAAGAAATGCCACCCCACACCATGACTGACCCACCGCCAAACCGGTCATGCTGGAGGATGTTGCAGGCAGCAGAACGTTCTCCACGGCGTCTCCAGACTCTGTCACGTCTGTCACGTGCTCAGTGTGAACCTGCTTTCATCTGTGAAGAGCACAGGGCGCCAGTGGCGAATTTGCCAATCTTGGTGTTCTCTGGCAAATGCCAAACGTCCTACACGGTGTTGGGCTGTAAGCACAACCCCCACCTGTGGACGTCGGGCCCTCATACCACCCTCATGGAGTCTGTTTCTGACCACTTGAGCAGACACATGCACAAAGGCGGAGGTAGCAGTCCTGCTGCTGGGTTGTTGCCCTCCTACGGCCTCCTCCACGTCTCCTGATGTACTGGCCTGTCTCCTGGTAGCGCCTCCATGCTCTGGACACTACGCTGACAGACACAGCAAACCTTCTTGCCACAGCTCGCATTGATGTGCCATCCTGGATGAGCTGCACTACCTGAGCCACTTGTGTGGGTTGTAGACTCCGTCTCATGCTACCACTAGAGTGAAAGCACCGCCAGCATTCAAAAGTGACCAAAACATCAGCCAGGAAGCATAGGAACTGAGAAGTGGTCTGTGGTCACCACCTGCAAAACCAGCCCTTTATTGGGGGTGTCTTGCTAATTGCCTATAATTTCCACCTGTTGTCTATTCCATTAGCACAACAGCATGTGACATTTATTGTCAATCAGTGTTGCTTCCTAAGTGGACAGTTTGATTTCACAGAAGTGTGATTGACTTGGAGTTACATTGTGTTGTTTAAGTGTTCCCTTTATTTTTTTGAGCAGTGTATAATACTATGCTAATTGGATAGGCGCCTATTGGAAAGACAATAAAATGACATTGTTGTGTATCGACTGGCAAATGTTTTAATGACTGCACATGCTCACAGTGAATTCTTCAGACGTGGTGGTGGTGTGCCAAGTACAAACATGGAGACACAGTATAACTGGGAACACTAAACACATACAACCCGCATGGACCTTCAGGGTTTGAAAATCTCTAAACACAGTTTGAAAAAAGCAAACGTCCTCTTCAAAGAATGTCGTCTTGAGAGAAGACAGACGTGTCGTAACGGCTGAGTATTTCACCCCTCTGATTCAGTGTTTCCCAACCCTAGATCCAGGGACTGACATGGCGGGTTGCTGCTGACCATCAGATAGTAAGTTGACACCGACTTCTGACACAAGTCTCAAGTGTTAATTTTAGTTTTAATTCAAATGGCCCTCCAAAGAAGAGGACCATCAGCAGAAAAAGTTTAGAAACAGTGTGGAAAACATGTGTTTTTGGAACTGCTCTAATTAACATAGTGCCCGGACACCCACTCAACTGCTATACACACATATGTACAATATAATGTGATTTTAAATTACAGTCTTTGAACGGGTTGTTCATTTACAAACACTGAGTAATCTCTTCTATTGCAGAGTTAGGCACACGCATTTCCACTAGTTTCAACCAGTGTTTCCCCTAGCTAGAGCAGCCCTCCACTGCCTAAATTGTTTTGTCATCCATTGGTTTCAATTTGTAATTTTTATCAAAGCTGCCCTAGATGTTGCTTTGAGGGCTTTTGCATCCCGCCTAAGGAAGAAACTAATATAGGGGAAACACTGGGTATACAGTTCTCATGGTCCAACTTTGGGAACCTTCTGAAAGTTGTAAAACTGTCCACTGGCCATTGACATCAGTTTAGGAATGAAAATGTACTGTAGGCTACTGTCTTTTGACCACTAAAATAGGTCACGCAACAAAAAGACAGAAGTCAAATTCGGACCTCATCAAATCAATTGTAGTGCAGAGTAAGCGGCCCTGCCGGGATGCATAGTTGGGCTTTCCTCTCCCTCTGTCAGTTACAACTGTCAGCCCAACCACTCGCAGCTCCTTCAAATAGTTTTTGTAACCAAATGAAAATTGACAACAAAAAAATCCATTAAAATAGCTCATATGAGGGGAGGGAAATGATCTTGAGTGTTTTTAACACCTCGCCTTTCCATTCTCAGGTCCGAAAAAGTGTTTTGACTCTCCATTCTCGCGTTGTTTCTTTCGTTCTCCTTCGTTGGGTCCTATTCCGTTCTCCCCTATCCGCTTCTCCCCTTGTTGATGGCGAACTAATGCGGCGGCCATCTTGGTTTTCCAGGTCTCAGAGGTGTGAGGAAGTGGAGAAGCAAAGCTTGAGGGTGTAAGGGTTGGAACCATCTGCAGGTGGAAAGACAGAATAGGAAGAAGGGATGAGGAGAGGATAAAACATACATGACTTGCACACACGTTTAACTCTATACATTTACTTTGTGGGGTGTGTGTGTGTGTGTGTGTGTGTGTGTGCGTGTGTGTGTGTGTTTTTGTGCGTATGTGTGTGTGTGAACATTTGCTCTAAATAATCATGTGTTGACACTAGTCAGTTTGAGCAATGCCCTGGTGGCATATTTCATGAAGCAGAGGCAGTAAGTTAGCCAGCTAAAGATTCTGAAACCACTCCATATAAAAGGCCAACTTATTAAGTAAAGTGTTACAGAGTGTTCTTTTAAAGAGACAGGATCAATGAGTTATCGAGCTAACTTTGATAAAACACTCGGTAGCAACATTTGCTCTATACATTTTCTAGATCACAGGGGAGGTAGCCTGCAGGTATAATTGTTTACTACTTGTTATAAGCATGCACAAGCCTTTATAATGTCTTATAATAACGCTTATAATATGTCATGTATCTTTATGTATCAACATTTCAACTGAATGCCTGGTATTTACTAGTCAGGATCATGTTTCCAGTTTCAAGTTTCAAGTTTTAATGTCACATGCACAAGTACAGTGAAATGCCTTTCTTGCTAACTCAAAGCCCAACAATGCAATAATCCATAACAATGTATTACAAAAAAACAAACAAAAAAACACGAGAAATAAGAATAAGAATAAGAAATACACAATAAAGTAATAATTAAGTAAGTATACTATATACAGGGAATATTTAAAAAGACAGTTCCAATACCATATTTACATGTGCAGGGATACTGGGGTGATGGAGGTAGATATGTATAGGGGTAAGGTGACTTGGCAACAGGATATAAGATAAACAGAGTAGCAGCAACTTGCATGTGAGTGGGTGTGTGGGTGTGTAAAGTCAGTATAAATGTATGTGCATATTATGTGTGAGTGAGCAAATGATGGAGTGAGTGTTTGTGTGTGTGTTGTGTTGCCTCAAGGGGTTACTCCTTATATTCTGTATTCTGACTATTTCCAGCTAACTGGGACCTTAGGTCTGCCACCCCCGTCAGGCTCTCTGTATGACAGACATTATTATTACAGAAAACAAGGCTTTCTCCTGCAATTTTCCTTCTCTGCCACTAAACAAATAATGAAAGCACACAATGGAGGTGTTTGGGGGGTGGGCTCCATTTTTGTTTTGCCTCACAATAAAAATTGTTTTAAAAGTTACGTCTATTGGCTTTTGTTTGCGTTGTCGGCCCGTGTGAAGGTGAATACCTGCTGTGTAAGGGAGGAGCACAAGTGAAGAATACAACAAAAATGTATTTAACTTGTATTGTAGTCGAAAAATAGAGAGAGTGAACAACTGTGAACGATGATGAAGACCAGTGATGAAGAGGCGTCTAGCGGCTAGCCTGGCGTGTTGATTCAATTTGGCATTGTCTGGATGGCTGGCTGTATATGGGGGACCGAGTGGCGTCGTGGTCTAAGGCACTGCATCGTAGTGCTAGAGGCGTCACTACAAACCCGGGTTTGATCCCGGGCTGTATCACAACTGGCCGTGATCGGGAGCACAATTGGCCCAGCGACATCTGGCTTAGGGGAGGGTTTGGCCGGGGTAAGCCTTCATTGTAAATAAGAATTTGTTCTTAACTGACTTTCCTAGTTAAATAAAAATCTCACAAGAGAGAGCCACACCTTCACAGTGGCAATCTCCAGGATGAGACTTTTCCACAGAAATCCTGGGGTCACTGATGAGAGGAGTGACGACTGTTACTGTGTGAATTAAATTGTAGTGTTTGTTTCAAGAGCTTATGAAGAGCTGCACATTTTGATATGCATTCTGGTTTATGTATTTTTAAAGTAACTGGATTGAAATTGTATATTGGGTTGACTGGTTATCAGGCACATTCCTGTTGTCCAGTCATAACATTCAAATTGAGTTGATTAGATATGAATCTGGGTGTGTTTTCCTGCCTTTTGTTTTCACTAGCAAAGTGCTAAGAAATGTTTATTCAGGTTGGGGGTGTGTTCCTGCTTGAATTTGGTTAAAAGGGCAGTGAATTTGCTCATACTTTGAGAACTTGCTACCAAGCTCCTGTGTGTATCAGACACACATCGTTTTTTCTCTTAGAGATGATTCTGAACGGAAGTCTTAGCCTGTTGGTGATAGTCATGTACTCTGTGTTATTCTGTAATGTATCATGTATTTCATGTACACTGTAATTGTTTGAGTGTCAATTATTTTGTGACTGATACATTATATTAGTTGAATTGAGTAAATCCATTCCTCGTTTTACAGAGTCATTATTTGATTGACTATTTGCCTTTAATTTGATAGTTGTTAATTACACTAAACACATAGCACATGCTTGGGTACCAACTTGACATCCCTGAGCTGCTTGCCTCAATAAATTAATGCTAGAACATTGCATTAGCTATTTGTATCTAGCCTCTTAATAATTGCATAATAGTGCAAGATAGACACATGTTCATTATAGTCATACTGAGTCGGTGATGCAATGATTCACTATCTTGCTAGATCCTTCAGAGACGCACAGGGTCTGTTGCATTTATTCACATAATAATGGCGTCCGATTGATAAATGTAGTTTATTATTATTCATAATTTCTACACAGCTACATAATGATGACCCCTCATCCTCAGTCGATGGGGATTTCCACCAACCGATGGGGATTTCCACCAACCGATGGGGATTTCCACCAACCGACAGTATGACTGGGAGTTCTATTAGGGAAACCCCTCAGAAGAAGTGTAATGCAGCCTGAAGCATGGAGTAAAGCTAAGCACCTGTCAATGACATGCACAGGCTAGCATTACTACCTAGCTTTATTCCATGCTACAGGTTAGAGAGACTTGAAAAAACAATGGTTTACATTGAAAGTCAGTTAGCCTGCGTTTAGACGAGCAGCCCAATTCTAATATTATTTTTTCACTAATTGGTATTTTTAGCAATCAAATAAGCTCTGAAAAAGATCTGGTGAAAATATATTTTTAGATGTGGCCTACAATATCAGAATTAATGTTAACATATACAATTCAACTATCTTATAACAAATGTTTTGGTTCTATGCAATCATACTGCACTAGTCAGCTATTGAATATTACCATTATGCTTGGGTAGCATAGTTGTTTTGTTAACCAATAAGAGTCTAAGGCCTGTCTAAGTTGGGGGAGGGGGGTTCTACTAAGCTATATGTATTTGTTTTAAGAAGGTCATACCAAGAATCATTTAGCTATTTGATTTTGATTTTATCCCCCCCAAAAAATATATCTATATTTGCTGAAAAATTATTTTGGGCCTTACTGCTATTAGTCCATTCAAACGTATTGAATAACAGATTCACTACATGGAACAACAGACAGTCCCCCAAAAAATATAAAAAGGAAGTTTTTCTGAAGTGTCTCTCAAATATCTGAGAGATATAAGAAATATATATATATATATATATATATATATATATATTTGTACAGGTATTTAACCCCATACTTTTGGCATTAAACAGTCTCCATATACAGTATACTACTTAAAAGAGACAGAGGAGGTGGCATGTGTTGTCTAGTGGTTATGGCTGCAGTCTCTGGCACACATACGGTGTTGGCATAGGTGACACATTCTCTTTCTATCATTCTCTCATTATCTCTCGCTCTTTTCATTATGTCTCGCTCTTTTCATTATGTCTCGCTACTTTTCTGTCATTGAAGCAAGCATTCTTATGTCATTCACTTCGGAGTAGTACACAGTACTTACTTGGTATTCTGATCTGGTGGTGGTTGAGGACTGTTAAAACCTCCACAGCGTGTGTCTTGTTGTCAAATTCGAATAAGCCTGAGATAGTTTTGGAGCTGGCTAGAAGGGAGAGGGAAAAACATCAGCCAACTTCAAAAGATAGTGATGGGAAAAGACAACATGTGAAACTGATTGTTAATAATACATAACAATATGTCGGTAACGCTTTATAATAACTTTCATGAATAGGCATTAATAAACTATAAACTATTCATAAATAAGTATTTCATCATTTGTAAACATTGATACGCATTACAATTCATAAGCATTTACAACATGTATGATAATTCTGAAAGCATTTATAAACATTTATAGAAAAGCATTCATAATGGTCTATTCATATCAATGATAGTAGAATATTATTTATCTATTTCCTTATTAATTACATTTATAATCTAGGTGCCTAGCTGTTGCGGACACATTCATTAGAAAAACAGCTGAATTGACTCATGTTATATAACGTCCATTTAGACCAACATAATGAATGAAATGAGCACTTACGTTTTGCATCGAAGACTTTGAACTTGATGAAACTGGGTACATCGTGCTCTGTACATAACTAACGATAAAGCACACAACAGAAAGGGTTCAGCTATTGCGTCATTGCTTCATTCAGTGTTTTGTATACATAATCCACTAGATGGCGATGTTATGATATGAATCTCAACACTGGACAATAAATAGGCTACTATAGGCCAGTGTTATTCAAACCTGGTATTGGAGGGCCACGGGGCTAATGTCTGTCTGATGCCAAATAACTTGACATATTGCAAACATTTGAATGCCTGTTTATAAAAAATGTAAGAACAATCTCCCCACTTGCGTCCTCTCTACCCTATAGGCAGGTGTCTCCTGTTACCCATTCTCAGGGTCATCCAAACTTTTAATTCCACTATAGAAAGGGTTCAACCTCCCCTTACCCCCACCTCCTGCCTCTCTAGACATCAGTCACCATTCCAGCCTAAACACCCACCCCTCCCTCCCTCCATCCCCTCCACACCCACCCTCTGCAGCTCGTCCTCAGTGATGCAGGGCGGGACATTGTAGAAGTGCAGCACAGCGGCGGGCGGCTGGATGATGTTCTTGGACGCCTGGCCCACGCTGCTGAAGCGGTTGTTCCGGGTCATGGCGAAGTCCTTGTAGCTGCTGCTGCCGTCCTCCAGCTCAAACACCTGACTGGGGATGACCGCGTGCTGCTTGGACACACTGGAGGGAGGGAAAGATCGAGGAAGGGAGGGAGGGATGAATGGATGGAGCAATAGGTAGGTAGATAGATAGATAGATAGATAGATAGATAGATAGATAGATAGATAGATAGATAGATAGATAGATAGCTAGATATGATAGATAGATAGATAGATAGATAGATAGATAGATAGTAGATGTAGATAGATAGATAGATAGATAGATAGATAGATAGATAGATAGATAGATAGATAGATACAGACAGACAGACAGACAGACAGACAGACAGACAGACAGACAGACAGACAGACAGACAGACAGACGAGACAGACAGACAGACAGACGACCAGACAGACAGACAGACAGACAAGATAGACAGACAGACAGACAGGACAGACGACAGCGGGAGAAGAGGTGTAGATAACGAAGAAGATATAAAACAGAGGGAAGGGAGGGATGGGGGAAGAGAGAAGAAGAGTAAAAGGAGAGGAATCAGAACGCAACTGATAGATTGCCAGCCATAGAGAATCTATATGTAATTCTATGTTTGCAGCTCTCCTATAGTGGGTGAACAAAAAGAGAGCATGTTCAATGGGGTTTATACATCCATGAGGCCAAGGCACAGATAGGGATAGGAGGAGTAAACATGAAAAAAACGTTTCCGACCCTCTAATAACAAATTGGCTCTCAAGGGCAGAGGGGAGCGAGAGGTTAGGTACGTATCGGCTTAGTGCTGCGAGAGACTAACTCCCAACGGGTTGAAGGTGATTTATGAAATGCCCTTTAGGTTTTACAATGCTATGCAGTCTCTCATTCAGAGGCCTAGATATAGAAGAGTTGCTATGAGAGTGCCGTTTTTAACATGCTATAATTATTTGGGCATTTGTATTGTAACATGCTATACTATTTGGGGCATTGTTTATAACATGTTATGGAAAAATATGTATTTCACAACATATAGCATGTTACAAACAACGCCTCATATGTTGCAGCAATGTCTTCAGATTGGCTATGCAGTCAGATGCTGGTGGACCGTCCGCCAACATAATGAAACGCTTTTGAATTCCTTGCGGCGGGGTTTAAGCCCAGCGCAGCTGAACGAAGCCTCATCTAAACTGGATCTAGCAGCTAAGGCAATTAATTATTCTGATGGATGGAGGCTGCCAATTCGATAGGACAACGCAACGCAACCCATACAGAGCCTTTGAACAGCCAACGCTGTCGAGACAAATAAGGCCTTTGTGCACCTACTCTGTCCTTTTTTCATAACGCTTTGAAGATTCCAAAACCCAAACTTGCTAAGTAACAGATTGATGATAATGATGTTTCTAAAGTAAATGTTGAAATGTTTAATCTAAATGTAAGAATAGTATATTTAGGTTATAAATTACAACATTTACTTAAGGAACGTTTTATTATGTAAGGCCAAAATAAAGAGTTACAAGTTATGTAAGCCAAACTATACATTTTTGTTTCTGTTGCTTTAGCGAAAGCATGCTGTTAAGTATCATGGCATAGGCCCTTTTAAAATCATTCTAAAATACTCATTTCCTTCCTTTCTATAAGTAATTACTGATCTAAAACTAGATGAAACCAAGGGGACCATTAGGTTATAAGTATTCAAACAATGTCTCTTTCAAGAAATGGCCTCGCATCCTCTCTTCTTGCCTCCTTCTCAAAACGCATTTGAGGAGAAGATCCAAGGTGCTTCCCTTACACCTGTTCTTCCAATGTATTTTGAGAAGGAGGCAAGGAGAGATGACCCGAGGAATCGAGGAAAGATGAACTGAGAAAGAGAAATGTCATGCTCATCAAGCTAGGGTTCACGGGGTGGGGGTCAAAGGTGAAACATGTAGCCTCCTCACCAGACGTTGAGCCTCTTGCTGAACACCTTGATGCTGTTGAGGTGTGTGATGGATCGGTCCACAGCGTACTCATCTCCCATCTCTACCAGTGCGGTGCCTGGGACGCTCTTCATAAACTTCACCTGGGGGCGTAAATAAGACCGAATGGCATCACTGTGAATCCATACAGACCTTCTGATATTCTACTAGGTGACGCTGATCTTGGGTCAGTTTTGCATTTCCCCTACTAATGGCTTCTCTTCGAGTACGCCAGTACTACTCCAGTACCAGCACACTTGATTGGTCAACTAATCACTAAGCACACTTTAGTTTTTATCCGCGTTTAAACAGAGACCAAATGGAATAAGTCTCAATCTAAAACATATTATGGTTCAGGATTCAATTGAAACAAACTGGTAGGTACTCCCCTCACAGTGGTAGGTTGCTGGCAGTGATTCTGTAACCAAAGCTACTGCATAAAGATTGCCATGGCACCTTTGATTGCATCCAGCCCCTAGTCACACTAGCTGTTACTCTACTGCCCTCAACCCTCTCATTTAAAGCGGCAATCCAGGATTGATACATCAATTTTTTGACTTTTAAATGAATGACGTTGTTTGAATTGCAGACTGTAGCTTTAATCGCGTGCGAAAACAGACGCTGACACTGACCTTCTCGATATTCCCGTACAGGCAGAAGAGGTTGAAGATGCGGGTGCAGTTCATCTTGGCGGGGTGCAGGCCGCTCACCATGGCGACCGACGAGCTGGAGGCGTGGCCCATATAGGAGGAGGTCTGGGGCAGGGGGTAGGCCACCACCTCCTGGGCGTCATGGGGGAATCTCCTCTTGTACCTGTTATTGCTGGGCAGGGGCAACAGGGGGCAGTGTGACCCTGGAGAGTGGGAGAGAGAGAGGGTGAGGGGGGAGAGAGAATAAGACGATGAGAGAGAAAGTGAGAAATAGAGAGGGAGCGCGCGAGAGAGAGAGAGAGGGGGGGGGGCAGAAGAGAAAGAGAGAGTTAGATAGAAAGAGAGAGGCAGAGAGAGAGAGAGACAAAAGATAGAGAGGGGGAGAGAGAGAAAGTGAAAGAGAGAAAAATAAATAGTGAGAGAGAGAGAGACAGAGGGTGGCAGAGAGAGAGCGATAGAGAGAGAGACAGAGGCGGGCAGAGAGAGAGGGAGAGAGAGAGAGAAAGAGAGTGAGAGAGTGTGTGTGAGAGAGAGGGAGTGACAGAGGGGGCAGAGAGAGAGAGAAATATAGAGAGAGTGCGAGAGTGCGAGAGAGACAGAGGGGGGCAGAGAGAGAGAGGGAGAGAGAGAGAGAGAGAGAGAGAGAGAGAGAAAGAAAGAACAAGAAAAAGCTGCCACAGACATATGATGACCTTATTTGGGATGGTTGAGATGACAGTGCAAACTTCCCCCCTCAGCCCCCAGCCCCCCATGAAGAAGGAGAAAAAATTCCAGCAGTACTAAAAAAGGTCCTAGACCATTTTCTACACCACTGCACCCTGTTTCCCCTGGAGATCTCGCTAATTACCAAGTGCCTTCAAGAGCGGCCGCATCACATCATCACGCTCTTTCCAAACCCCCGACACACACATATACACACACACACATACACACCAATGACTGTATGACACACACATACGCAGACACCACCCCTCCTCCCCATGTTTTTCCATCCATCCAACCTCCACCATCTCCTCCAGATGTAAGTGTCTGTGGGTGACAGAGCTTAATTACAGGATACCCAAAGCCCAGCTGCACAATGACAGTCACAGAGAGAGAGAGAGAGAGATAGAGAGAGAGAGAGAGAGAGAGAGAGAGAGAGAGAGAGAGAGAGAGAGAGAGAGAGAGAGAGAGAGAGAGAGAGAGAGAGAGAGATGGATGGATGGATAAAGAGAGGAATGGGAAAGAAAAGAGATACTGTAGACGTGGTGAGCCAGATAGAATGATAAAGAGAGAGAATTAGAGATTCTGAGAAAGAGAGAGATGAGTCTGAGAGAGGGCTACAGAGAAAGGGAGATGCTGGGAGAAAGAAAGGTGGAAGAAGAGAGAGATGAGGAGACAGAAAGAGAGGGATCGAGAGACGGCGAAAGAGAGATGAGTCAGAATGAGAGGGATAAAGAGAGAGGGAGTGTGTGTGTGCGTGTGAGGGAGAGACATGAGACAAAAAGAGAGAAAGAGAGAAAGAGCGAGGGAGGGATGGATAAAGAGAGGCAGCGAATGTGAGCGACACTGACCATAGCCGTTGTCGCTGTAGGAGGACGGATGCTCTCCCAGAATGGCCTGGCGTTGCCTCCCCTTCCCTCGCTCTGCAACACAGACAGAATACACAGTGAAAGGCAAATGTAAAGTGACAAAGCCGCCAGGTGCCAACTGCACATCCACCCACTCAAAATGCACAGACACTCACATATACACGGGGACTAACAGACACATGCACACACACGCGCACACATGGGACTAACACACACAAGACTAACACACGCTCACATACACGCACTCACACAAACTCACGCACACACACACACACACACACACACACACACACACATACATTGGCACATTTGCACGCCATAAACCATAAAACCACTCTACGCAAGCAGATTAGATTTAGTAACAGCAAAGCTAGACACTACTTGACACTTTTGGTAATTGGTATAACAGCAAAACTAGACACTTTTGGTTCAAAGTTGTCCTTTCACTTCAAATGACAAATGTCTCTTCCTTGGCTGACTGAGCCTGGTTGAATTGCAGAGGAATGATAAAACAGTGTTTTTTTGGGAAGAGGGGAGTGTTAAAATGACAGTTAAAATGTCACAGTTACAGTTCAATGGCCTCGGGTGGAAACATTGACCCAGACATGAGGGAAAACGCATTGAAAAAAGGTATATTAAGCACCCTTCTAACCTAATCCTCTTACTGTGCACCAGGAAAAGGACAAAACAGAACAAAGATAAGGGTATTTTTAGCCTATATTTTCCCCAATGCAGCTTACTCACAGAGTCACAGACAAACATTTACATTTACGTCATTTCTTATCCAGAGCGACTTACAAATTGGTGCATTCAACTTATGATAGCCAGTGGGACAACCACTTTTTTTTATTATGGGGGGGTGGGTAGAATGATTACTTTTATACTATTCCAGGTATTCCTTAAAGAGGTAGGGTTTCAAGTGTCTCCGGAATGTGGTCAGTGACTCCGCTGTCCTGGCGTCGTGGGGGAGCCTGTTCCACCATTGGTGTGCACTCGAACTAAAACCGAAGCATATGTAATGTAATTGTTTTTATGTAAGGTGTCCCGATCAAGTTACAGACTACTATATGGAGCATTGCTGGAAACAGCCTCTGTCATTGTTAGCCTGGTCCTATATCTGTTTGTTCTGTATACCTCTATGGGGCTTTGTGTGAACAGCACAAGCAGATATAGGACCAGGCTACCTCACTGCATCCCTTACTCATCAAACAAACGTCATCTAAAATGAAAGGGTTCATTAACATTTTAGAGGTGTTGGTGGAGTTGGTGGCGTGAGTATTTCAACGACATATGCACAATCATCAACTCAGTGAACCCTGTTACACTGAGGACTTGAGAGAAGTGTGTGTGCCAGACTGCGTGTGTGTATGTGTGTGCGCTGTTGCGCATGCACGTGTGTTCGCATGCACGTGTCTTTCAGCGCACGCACCAACGACTCAACCTGTGTTACATCATTTTAACGTCATTTCAAAGTCTAATTTCAACAATGCGAGAGAGAACTGGTGATGCACACGCAGACACAAACGGAAGGTGCGGCGCTGAGTTAAACGAGAATGCATGCCTTCCTCTCGCCAGCTCCCGCAGGCCGCGGGGGACCAAGCTCATGCAGAGCTAAGCTAATTGGTACAAAATGTGCAGTTAGGCGGGTAGGAACCGGTGGGATTGGTGGGTTGCCATATTTGTACAGAAACCATAAAGAGAGGGGAGAGGAGAAGGATTAAATGAGAGGAGAGGAGGAGTGACCTTGATGCTTGCGCTGAGCCGACAGGTTCGCCATTCACCTGACAGAGTGGCAGAGAGAGAGAAAGAGGGAGGGGGGAGAGAGTGAGGAGACGAGAGAGAGAGAGAGAGAGAGAGGCCTCTGACTATGACGTCATCCCAGTAGTTGGGATAAATCTATCGAAATTGTATCTGCCCACATAAACCTGGGAGTACTTAGGGGATCAATAAATAAAAAACTATAGAGCGACAAACATTATACTGTGAAACGGTTTTTAAAGATAAGGGGTAAGAGATGTCTCTTGTGACATGTCTCTTGTGTCTTAGTTAAATGTTTAATAAGGCATACATCTATTCCATCTATTTACAGGCTGTCCTTCTCTATGTTTGTATAATAAGCTACTGTATATACACCGAACAAATCCTTTTTGAAGAGCATCTGATATGGTAAGGGCCTCAAGTGCAAATATAGCATTTCAGTTTCCCCAAAATGCAAGCTGATTAGGATTTAAATTTACCGTCTGCGGCTCAAGAGGATTATGTGGGGCTGTTTTATTTTCAGTTTTCTCTGTTTGCACTAAAGGGCTTCCAATCCATTATTATTCAGCCTTTTATCATGTCAGCATTATATTTTCAGCCTCTTGCTATTTTTCTAGTTGCTTGTCTCTCTCCTTCCTCCGGTCAATAAAAACAATTGGAAGCTGACCACACATCTTCAACTCCACGGCAAAAAGTCCTTGACGCCGTCAAAGTCAAACAGACCTTCAAATCCAATACACGGCAAGGCGATCGATTGGAAAGCAGCCCTGGATTGTGGGTGATAAGACATTGTTTACCCTCCATTTGTGGAGAGAGAATGGGAATCCGGGCTGGCGTGTCAATCACACCGTCCAACTGATGTTTAATCAAGCCCAAGTCACACAAAGCAGGCTTTCTGCTTGGTTAAAATCCATGCTCCCATTTATATTAATATGATTATGGGCTGTAGTCTATCTACGGCACCTCATACTGAGGACATATTGTTGAAGCTTCCCCAGTACATCAGAGCTTCAAATTCAGAGACCAAGGGTTCTCTTTTATTGAGCATTGTAATGCTATAATATTTGGTGTGGGGACATTGCTATTGTATACAGTTGAAGTCTGAAGTTTACATACACCTTTGCCAAATACTTTAAACTCAGTTTTTCACAGTTCCTGACATTTAATCCTAGTAAAAATTCCCTGTTTTAGGTCAGTTAGGATCACCACTTTATTTTAAGAATGTGAAATGTCAGAATAATAGTAGAGAGAATGATTTATTTCAGCTTTTATTTATTTCATCACATTCCCAGTGGGTCAGAAGTTTACATACACTCAATTAGTATTTGGTAGCATTGCCTTTAAATTGTTTAACTTGGGTCAAATGTTTCGGGTAGCCTTCCACAAGCTTCACACAATAAGTTGGGTGAATTTTGGCCCATTCCTCCTGACAGAGCTGGTGTAACTGAGTCAGGTTTGTAGGCCTCCTTGCTCGCACACGCTTTTTCAGTTCTGCCCACAAATGTTCTATAGGATTGAGGTCAGGGCTTTGTGATGGCCACTTCAATACCTTGACTTTGTTGTCCTTAAGCCATTTTGTCACAACTTTGGAAGTATGCTTGGGGTCATTGTCCATTTGGAAGACCCATTTACGACCAAGCTTTAACTTCCTGACTGATGTCTTGAGATGTTGCTTCAATATATCCACATAATTTTCCTTCCTCATGATGCCATCTATTTTGTGAAGTACACCAGTCCCTCCTGCAGCAAAGCACCCCCACAGCATGATGCTGCCACCCCCGTGCTTCACGGTTGGGATGGTGTTCTTCGGCTTGCAAGTTACCCCCTTTTTCCTCCAAACATAACAATGGTCATTATGGCCAAACAGTTCTATTTGTGTTTCATCAGACCAGAGAACATTTCTCCAAAAAGTATGATCCATGTGTAGTTGCAAACCGTAGTCTGTCTTTTTTATGTCGGTTTTGGAGCAGTGGATTCTTCCTTGCTGAGCAGCCTTTCAGGTTATATCGATATAGGACTCGTTTTACTGTGGATATAGATACTTTTGTACCTGTTTCCTCCAGCATCTTCAGAAGGTCCTTTGCTGTTGTTCTGGGATTGATTTGCACTTTTCACACCAAAGTACGTTCATCTCTAGGAGACAGAACGCGTCTCCTTCCTGAGCGGTATGACGGCTGCGTGGTCCCATGGTGTTTATTCTTGCGTACTATTGTTTGTACAGATGAACGTGGTACCTTCAGGCGTTTGGAAATTGCTCCTAAGGATGAACCAGACCTGTGGAGGTCAAAAAAAAAAAATCTGAGGTCTTGGCTGATTTCTTTTGATTTTCCCATGATGTCAAGCAAAGAGGCACTGAGTTTGAAGGTAGGCCTTGAAATACATCCACAGGTACACCTCCAATTGACTCAAATGATGTCAATTAGCCTATCAGAAGCTTCTAAAGCCATGACATCATTTTCTGGAATTTTCCAAGCTGTTTAAAGGCACAGTCAACTTAGTGTATGTAAACTTCTGACCCACTGGAATTGTGATACAGTGAATTATAAGTGAAATAATCTGTCTGTAAACAATTGTTGGAAAAATTACTTGTGTCATGCACAAAGTAGATGTCCTAACCGACTTGCCAAAACTATAATTTGTTAATTTGTGGAGTGGTTGAAAAACGAGTTTTAATGACTCCAACCTAAGTGTATGTAAACTTCCGACTTCAACTGTATCTGTATATCAAATTAATATGCATCGATTCATTGGTGTAGGCTCAGCAAAGTCAAGGTCTGTTATGAACAGATTCTATAATATTTTTACCAATTGAGTAGTAAGATAGATAGATGATAAAATGAAAGATTAAAGGGGGGGGATTAGCAATAGCCCTTTCATCCATGTTGCTTTATTCTCTGGATCTACTCAACACTGACAAATCCAAGGGTTTGAGCTTGCTTATTGTATTTCAATATTTTGTGTCAGCATTTGTACCATGCAATGTAGGCTACCATGGCCACGGCAAAGGGATGAATGCTTTTATTTTTCAAAGACTGGCTGTATTAGATAAAAACATCCAATGTTCAAGGACAGACTGATAGAAGTGGAGGCATATTCATTTTTGCACCTCTGTCACTCGGTCGCGTTGTTGCCATTGTTATCAACAAACGTTCTACAAATGCTGCAGCATATTGATGTCTGATTTTTAATGCTCAGTTTTTCTGAAGGGGGGCTAATGACTGTTTCGTCAAATGTACACTATAGTGACCTGGAAATACGATGACATTGCTAAAGTAGACAAATAATTTGTACAAAACAACTTTGCCATCATTGTCGTCAAGTTTATTTTAGAGAGATGGCAATTTTGCCATCAGCTAGAAAAGTTTGTCAGAAATAACTAGCAATGCTAATGTTAGCTAGCTAAAATGCCAATGCTCTCCCCTCAATCTTAGCAAGCTAGCTAGCTAAAGTTTTACTGTATCTAAAGTCAATCTGGTGACATCCCAATGATGACAAAAGCTTGTCCTACAAATGATTTGCCTCCTTTTGAAATGACATCGGGTTTCAAAGCTACAGTAATGCACTTTAGACAAAATCAGCATCCATTGAGTAGAATGCTCAGCTGGGCATCAGTCCTAAAACATACATTCTAAACAATATTGTGACGAAACGTGCGACTATGAATATATCTGTTATTTATCTGTTTTCACAGATACTTGAATCCTTTCTCGGCTATGAAAAGCCAACTGACATTTACTCCTGAGGTGTTAAACTGTTGACCCTGCTGGTCATCTATGAATGTCTTGAAGAACGATCTGGCCTAATTGACCATGTACTGTTATAATCCCCGCCCGGCACAGGCAGATGAGGACTGGCCACCCCTCAGAGCCTGTTCCTCTCTAGGTTTTTTTCCTCAGTTCCTTCCTTTCTAGGGAGTTTTTCCTAGCCACTGTGCTTCTACATCTGCATTGCTTGCTCTTTGGAGTTTAAGGCTGGGTATCTGTATAGCACTTTGTGACAACTGCTGATGTAAAAAGGGATTGATTGGTTGCAATAAAATATTTATTTGCTTCTTAGAGTATGTATACACCATCAGGACTTGATTCAATCAGATGTCTCTCTTCCTAACTAAGTATGTAAACACATCTGGATAATATAAGATTGGGGTTAGTGGATAAAATACAATTAGTGATTATTAAGTGAAGGTACTACTAGAACAGGGTTTCCCAAACTCGGTCCTAGGGCCCCCCCTGGGGTGCACGTTTTAGTTTTTGCCCTAGCACTACACAGCTGATTCAAATAATCAAAGCTTGATGATGAGTTGGGTATTTGAATCAGCTGTGTAGTACTAGGGCAAAAATCAAAATGTGCACCCGGGCTCAGGACCGAGTTTGGGAAACCCTGTACTAGACAGTGACGACTGGGCCGTACCCACTCTGACCTGCAGCACTGAGCAGTAGGGGGCGCTAAAGTAACAGCAAGCTACAACACTAGGCAGCGCTCCTAGTGGCCGGGGACTTTAATGCAGGGAAACTTAAATCCGTTCTACCTAATTTCTACCAGCATGTTAAATGTGCAACCAGAGGGAAAAAAAACTCTAGACCACCTTTACTCCACACACAGAGACGCATACAAAGCTCTCCCTCGCCCTCCATTTGGCAAACTGACCATAACTCTATCCTCCTGATTCCTGCTTATAAGCAAAAACTAAAGCAGGAAGCACCAGTGACTCAGTTAATAAAAAAGTGGTCAGATGACACAGATGCTAAGCTACAGGACTGTTTTGCTAGCACAGACTGGAACATGTTCCGGGATTCTTCAGATAGCATTGAGGAGTACACCACATCAGTCACTGGCTTCATCAATAAGTGCATCGATGACGTCATCCCCACAGTGACCGTACGTACATTCCCCAACCAGAAGCCATGGATTACAGGCAACATCCGCACTGAGCTAAAGGGTAGAGCTGCCGCTTTCAAGGAGCGGCACTCTAACCCGGACGCTTATAAGAATTCCCGCTATGCCCTCAGACGAACCATCAAACAGGCAAAGAGTCAATACAGGACTAAGATTGAATCGTACTACACCGGCTCTGACGCTCGTCGGATGTGGCAGGGCTTGAAAACTATTACAGACTACAAAGTGGTCCTCTGTAGCTCAGCTGGTAGAGCACGGTGCTTGTAACGCCAGGGTAGTAGGTTCAATCCCCGGGACCACCCATGCACAAAAATGTATGCACGCATGACTGTAAGTCGCTTTGGATAAAAGCATCTGCTAAATGGCATATTATTATATTATATTTACAAAGGGAAGCACAGCCGCGAGCTGCCCAGTGACATAAGCCTACCAGACGAGCCAAACCACTTCTATGCTCGCTTCGAGGCAAGCAACACTGAAGCATGCATGAGAGCACCAGCTGTTCCGGATGACTATGTGATCACGCTCTCCGTAGACGATGTGAGTAAGACTTTTAAGCTGGTCAACATTCACAAGGCCGCAGGGCCAGATGGATTACCAGGACGTGTACTCCAAGCATGTGCTGACCAACTGGCAAGTGTCTTCACCGACATTTTCAACATGTCCCTGACTGAGTCTGTAATACCAACATGTCTCAAGCAGACCACCATAGTCCCCGTGCCCAAGGACACTAAGATAACCTGCCTAAATGTAATGACTACCGACCCGTAGCACTGACGTCTGTAGCCATGAAGTGCTTTGAAAGGCTGGTCATGGCTCACATCAACACCATTATCCCAGAAACCCTAGACCCACTCCAATTTGCATACCGCCCCAACAGATCCACAGATGACGCAATCTCTATTGCACTCCACACTGCCCTTTCCCACCTGGACAAGAGGAACACCTATGTGAGAATGCTATTCATTGACTACAGCTCAGCATTCAACACCATAGTGCCCTCAAAGCTCATCACTAAGCTAAGGATCCTGGGACTAAACACCTCCCTCTGCAACTGGATCCTGGACTTCCTGACGGGCCACCCCCAGGTGGTAAGGGTAGGTAACAACACATCTGCCACACTGATCCTCAACACGGGGGCCCCTCAGGGGTGTGTGCTCAGTCCCCTCCTGTACTCCCTGTTCACCCATGACTGCATGGCCAGGCATGACTCCAACACCATCATTAAGTTTGCCGACGACACAACAGTGGTAGGCCTGATCACCGACAACGATGAGACAGCCTATAGGGAGGAGGTCAGAGACCTGGCCGTGTGGTGCCAGAATAACAACCTTTCCCTCAACGTGACCAAGACAAAGGAGATGATTGTGGACTACAGGGAAAAAAAGAGGACTGAGCACGCCCCCATTCTCATCGACGGGGCTGTAGTGGAACAGGTTGAGAGTTTCAAGTTCCTTGGTGTCCACATCACCAACGAACTATCATGGTCCAAACACACCAAGACAGTCGTGAAGAGGGCACGACAAAGCCTATTCCCCCTCAGGAGACTGAAAAGATTTGGCATGGGTCCTCAGATCCTCAAAAAGTTATACAGCTGCACCATCGAGAGCATCCTGACTGGTTGCATCATCGCCTGGTATGGCAACTGCTCGGCCTCCGACCGCAAGGCACTACAGAGGGTAGTGCGTACGGCCCAGTACATCACTGGGGCCAAGCTTCCTGCCATCCAGGACCTCTATACCAGGCGGTGTCAGAGGAAGGCCCTCAAAATTATCAAAGACTCCAGCCACCCTAGTCATAGACTGTTCTCTCTGCTACCGCACGGCAAGCTGTACCGGAGCGCCAAGTCTAGGTCCAAAAGGCTTCTCAACAGCTTCTACGCCCAACCCATAAGACTCCTGAACAGCTAATCATGGCTACCCGGACTATTTGCACCCCCACCTCATCTTTTTACGCTGCTGCTACTCTGTTAATTATTTATGTATAGTCACTTTAACTCTACCCACAGGGTACCCCCCTGTATATAGCCTCTCTACTGTTATTTTATTTTACTTCTGCTCTTTTTTTCTCAACACTTTTTTGTTGTTGTTGTTTTATTTTACTTTTTTATTAAGAAATAAATGCATTGTTGGTTAAGGGCTGTAAGTAAGCATTTCACGGTAATGTCTACACCTGTTGTATTCGGCGCATGTGGCAAATAAAATTTGATTTGATTTGATTTGATGTGGTACACAGACAGTGTGCCCATCATCAGCAAAATCTGACATTTCTATTAATACGTAAAACAGAAGGATATGTATGTAACCAATGTTCTCTGATGGAACAAAGAGAACAAATCTTTTTTTAACAGAGGCTATTTTGGCTCATTTTAGTTAGGCAATGAAGAAGACTTGGCAGGGACAAAGACTGAGGCCTAATGTTGAAGAGAAAACAACAGACGAACTGGCAAATTGAGATTCATGGCCGCTCTTTAAGGAACGAATGTAAAACCACAATGGCAGAACTCATTTCTTGTCACAGCCCATTTCAGCTGATTATGTGTCTGTAGGAGTGTGAAGGTTGAAAGGGTTTTGAAATGGTTTAACAACCACGGCTACAGATTTGAGGGTTGCTCTGCTCACCATATTTGTGACACACACAACGCACACACACAAATGTCGTATTCATTAGAGCATGCAACTGAGAATGGTTTAAAAACGTTTTGCAACAGAGAACTACAATGAGCGTTTTTTACAGGACAAGTCCAGGTATTCTCTCCTTGTTCCAGTCCGTTTTCTTCAGTTTGCTACCTAATGAATACAACCCTAGTACAGGAAGAGATACAGCAGAGAAGGAAGGATATCGTACCTCGCCTGACGAGAAAGGGCTTTGTGTAGTCCCAGCTATCATTGTCGTTGCGGAGGACGTTGAGTCGCGTGGGCTGCATGGGGAGAGAGAGCAGAGCACCGCTGCATGTGTGTTAGGGGTCCACAGGGATGCTGGTGGAGTGTGTGTGAGCACTGTGTGTGTATGTGGGTTTGTGAGTATGTGTGTTTACCCGAGCGTATTCGATCTTCAGGGTGCAGCTGCCGGCGTATATGTCTGCTCCGTTGAGAGCCGATTTCGCCTTCTGGGCGATTTTGACAGTTTCAAATGTGGAAACACCATTAAGGAAGAGCAAACGGGAGGATCTCAGTGGAATTCAAAACGTTGTGTGGCAAACAGAGTAGATCAGTGTAGAATCACAATGACCAGAAGGCAAAAACATAGGAGATGGAGCAAGAACCACAAGCCACCCTACAGACGACTAAGGCTGTTTGCATACTCTTGGGTCACTCAGCCCAATGTAATTCTGCTTCAGAGAAGCTGTAATAAGCTCAGCAATTGCAGATTAGGTAATAGAATAGGGCCCTGTTCGAATCCTCCTAAAAAGCATCTTTCCTCCCTCGCTTTCTTGTAATCACTGATCTGACATGGCGTAATTGGTGCAATACAATGGAATGCTTGCTTACATCAATCCATTCATGTCAAATCAGTGATTAGTTGAAGAAGGGAGGAAGGAAGGATTAATTTTAAGAGTATTTGAACAAGGCCCTTTTCTAGAACCTTATTGGCAGTGACTGAGCTGATTACAGCTACTCTAAAGCACAATTACAATGGGCTGAGTCACTCTAACCATCATGAAATCTTATCAAGCTGCTCTGGTTCCAGTAAAATGCAGACGAGCAGATCGTTATGCAAATTAGGTAGTAAAAGTAAAATCACTATAAAAACCTAACAGCATAAAAAGGTCCAAAATGGTTGTGCTAATATAATAGAATTGAAATCTAATCGAGGTGGGCCAAATTGTCTTCTATTTCTCGCTTCTTGAGCCTATGTCTTAAAATATTATATGATCAAATACAGTATGTGATGGTACACCCATTGGAACACACCACAGATCAGATCAAACACACATACAACACAGAGTGCCTTAGAAACCCCCATTGCCATAGCAACCACATCCCAGTGGCAATAAAACAGGGGATTTAAGCATCCATCTCCCATAAAACCCAAACCTGACACAACAGTGACACAATCCCTTGTCTCCTGAGTTTCCATTGGCCAATCTCTGCTCCTGGTGGTACCATTAGCAAGAAACTGTAGAGACTGATAGCTGTACATGATCTACATAATGAGCCAACTTGGGGACAAAGTGAAATGTCTTATAATGCTAGACAGTAAATATAAACAGAGGCCCATTGTGTTACAATGTGACTATAAATAAGGGAACAATATGGGAATTAGTTATCAAATTACTATGAACTAGGTTTATCAGTACTTCATTATATCAGTTAAAAAGTACTTCCCATTGTTGATTATTTTTTCCAAGAAAATACCAAAACTGAACACAAATGTGGTTCACACTCCAGAAGTGCATGCACGGACTGGCCTACAACATGCTAATTATTACATAGGTTGTTAATCTGATATAAGGCTTGCGTAATGAAGAGTATGTTAAAATAGGGCCTCTAACCCACTACACATACTGGAGGTGTGCAAACCATAATAGACACACACACACACACTCATACACACACACACACACACACACACACACACACACTCATACACACGCACACACACACACACACACTGCTTCCGACATTCTGAACCTTTTTACAGCCTGAGTGTGTGTGTGTGTTTGTTTGTGTTTGTTTGTGAGAATCACTCATACAGACAGACTCCTGAATCCACACACATAGACATGCATCTACAGTGCATGCACGGACACACACACACGGACACACACACACGCACGCACACACGCCTGCAGTAGCCCAGCTTGACTCCAGAAAGGATATTCCACCATGGCCTGGATTCCATTGCGTTTGAAGATGACAATTCGCAGCACGTTGCCTATGGGATTGCAGACTGTGTATAGAACATCCTAGAAGACAGAAGAGCAATGACTGGGTTCTGACTAATGCCATAATTAACACAATAATAAGTAACAATTCAGGGGTGAGTTTCCTGAAAGCTTAGTAGTTCATGTGGTATTTTCCTCGATGACCCAGACCAACACCACAAGTAGAAGAGTATTTATTCTTGCTTCTTTTGATTATATTTGTTCATGGATAGAAGATTGGCTGTCAATTAAACATACATTTTAGACTTTACGTTACTCTCTTGTGGCTGAGCAGCTGGGTTGTTGAGATAAATAACATGCCACATTAGCTACAAGGCTTTCGGGAAATCCAAGCTAAATCGTTGTACACTAAGTCATCGTAAGCAACACCATTGTAAATGCCCCACTGGGCATTTCAACGTGGAGAATTGGGTCATATTTGGTAGATACATTGATCAATGTGGTTCCAACCTATTTTCACCCACTCAAAAAGACAGACAAAAGTTTGTTGAATTCCCAATGTGTTATCACTATGCTTTCAACCATCTAAAAGCACAACCAAATTCCAATGGAAAATCAATGTCAGATTTTTGGTTTAGTTTTCACCTAAATGTGTTATCACTGCGCTTTCCACCATTTAAAAGCACACCAAAGATCAAATGGGAATACAATGTCAGATATTTAGTTTATTTAGATACAACAACTTAATGTGTTATCACTGTGCTTGATCTAATAGCACAATCACATGACCTGGATTGCAGTTACCTGAGATTACATTAAAGTACATGGTGGAAATGATCAATGCCGTTTGAGATTTTGTCAAGATTATTATTGCAATTGCAAAGATTTCTACAGACCTGCGACCCTGAACGCTTTCTATGATTACATAAGAAAACGTTTATTGTTACAGTAACCTCAAAATGTAGCCATGGATGTGTTACTCATTTTAAGGTTGAATAAATACTGTTATATTAGTTTGTAAGATAGCCTTAACATTATGCTATTTACTGTCTTACAAAAGCAATATTGAATTGTGTTTGGTTGACAACGCAACCAAATATCAACATTTAAAGGATATGTACAGTGAGGGAAAAAAGTATTTGATCCCCTGCTGATTTTGTACGTTTGCCCACTGACAAAGAAATTATCAGTCTATAATTTTAATGGTAAGTTTATTTGAACAGTGAGAGACAGAATAACAACAAAAAAATCCAGAAGAACGCATGTCAAAAATGTTATAAATTGATTTGCATTTTAATGAGGGAAATAAGTATTTGACCCCTCTGCAAAACATGACTTAGTACTTGGTGGAAAAACCCTTGTTGGCAATCACAGAGGTCAGACATTTCTTGTAGTTGGCCACCAGGTTTGCACACATCTCAGGAGGGATTTTGTCCCACTCCTCTTTGCAGATCTTCTCCAAGTCATTAAGGTTTCGAGGCTGACGTTTGGCAACTTGAACCTTCAGCTCCCTCCACAGATTTTCTATGGGATTAAGGTCTGGAGACTGGCTAGGCCACTCCAGGACCTTAATGTGCTTCTTCTTGAGCCACTCCTTTGTTGCCTTGGCCGTGTGTTTTGGGTCATTGTCATGCAGGAATACCCATCCACGACCCATTTTCAATGCCTTGGCTGAGGGAAGGAGGTTCTCACCCAAGATTTGACGGTACATGGCCCCGTCCATCGTCCCTTTGATGCGGTGAAGTTGTCCTGTCCCCTTAGCAGAAAAACACCCCCAAAGCATAATGTTTCCACCTCCATGTTTGACGGTGGGGATGGTGTTCTTGGGGTCATAGGCAGCATTCCTCCTCCTCCAAACACGGCGAGTTGGGTTGATGCCAAAGAGCTCCATTTTGGTCTCATCTGACCACAACACTTTCACCCAGTTCTCCTCTGAATCATTCAGATGTTCATTGGCAAACTTCAGACGGGCATGTATATGTGCTTTCTTGAGCAAAGGGACCTTGCGGGCGCTGCAGGATTTCAGTCCTTCACGGCGTAGTGTGTTACCAATTGTTTTCTTGGTGACTATGGTCCCAGCTGCCTTGAGATCATTGACAAGATCCTCCCGTGTACTTCTGGGCTGATTCCTCACCGTTCTCATGATCATTGCAACTCCACGAGGTGAGATCTTGCATGGAGCCCCAGGCAGAGGGAGATTGACAGTTTTCTTTTGTGTTTCTTCCATTTGCGAATAATCGCTGCTTGGCGATGGTCTTGTAGCCCATTCCAGCATTGTGTAGGTCTACAACTTTGTCCCTGACATCCTTGGAGAGCTCTTTGGTCTTGGCCATGGTGGAGAGTTTGGAATCTGATTGATTGATTGCTTCTGTGGACAGGTGTGTTTTATACAGGTAACAAACTGAGATTAGGAGCACTCCCTTTAGAGTGTGCTCCTAATCTCAGCTCGTTACCTGTATAAAAGACATCTGGGAGCCAGAAATCTTTCTGATTGAGAGGGGGTCAAATACTTATTTCCCTCATTAAAATGCAAATCAATTTATAACATTTTTGACATGCGTTTTTCTGGATTTTTTGTTGTTGTTGTTATTCTGTCTCTCACTGTTCAAATAAACCTACCATTAAAATTATAGACTGATCATTTCTTTGTCAGTGGGCAAACGTACAAAATCAGCAGGGGATCAAATACTTTTTCCCTAAAAATTATTCATCCTCTTTGGCGTATTTCCTATTTTGTTGCATTACAACCTGTAATTTATATGGATTTTTATTTGGATTTCATGTAATGGACATACACAAAATAGTCCAAATTGGTGAAGTGAAATTTAAAAAATAACTTGTTTCAAAAAAGTAAAAAATATATATAAAGGAAAAGTGGTGCGTGCATAGAGTGGGGGAAAAAAGGTATTTAGTCAGCCACCAATTGTGCAAGTTCTCCCACTTAAAAAGATGAGAGAGGCCTGTAATTTTCATCATAGGTACACGTCAACTATGACAGACAAATTGAGATTTTTTTTCTCCAGAAAATCACATTGTAGGATTTTTAATGAATTTATTTGCAAATTATGGTGGAAAATAAGTATTTGGTCACCTACAAACAAGCAAGATTTCTGGCTCTCACAGACCTGTAGCTTCTTCTTTAAGAGGCTCCTCTGTCCTCCACTCGTTACCTGTATTAATGGCACCTGTTTGAACTTGTTATCAGTATAAAAGACACCTGTCCACAACCTCAAACAGTCACACTCCAAACACCACTATGGCCAAGACCAAAGAGCTGTCAAAGGACACCAGAAACAAAATTGTAGACCTGCACCAGGCTGGGAAGACTGAATCAGCAATAGGTAAGCAGCTTGGTTTGAAGAAATCAACTGTGGGAGCAATTATTAGGAAATGGAAGACATACAAGACCACTGATAATCTCCCTCGATCTGGGGCTCCACGCAAGATCTCACCCCGTGGGGTCAAAATGATCACAAGAACGGTGAGCAAAAATCCCAGAACCACACGGGGGGACCTAGTGAATGACCTGCAGAGAGCTGGGACCAAAGTAACAAAGCCTACCATCAGTAACACACTACGCCACCAGGGACTCAAATCCTGCAGTGCCAGACGTGTCCCCCTGCTTAAGCCAGTACATGTCCAGGCCCGTCTGAAGTTTGCTAGAGTGCATTTGGATGATCCAGAAGAGGATTGGGAGAATGTCAGATGAAACCGAAATATAACTTTTTGGTAAAAACTCAACTCGTCGTGTTTGGAGGACAAAGAATACTGAGTTGCATCCAAAGAACACCATACCTACTCTGAAGCATGGGAGTGGAAACATCATGCTTTGGGGCTGTTTTTCTGCAAAGGGACCAGGACGACTGATCCGTGTAAAGGAAAGAATGAATGGGGCCATGTATCGTGAGATTTTGAGTGAAACCCTCCTTCCATCAGCAAGGGCATTGAAGATGAAACGTGGCTGGGTCTTTCAGCATGACAATGATCCCAAACACACCGTCCGGGCAACGAAGGAGTGGCTTCGTAAGAAGCATTTCAAGGTCCTGGAGTGGCCTAGCCAGTCTCCAGATCTCAACCCCATAGAAAATCTTTGGAGGGAGTTGAAAGTCTGTGTTGCCCAGCGACAGCCCCAAAACATCACTGCTCTAGAGGAGATATGCATGGAGGAATGGGCCAAAATACCAGCAACAGTGTGTGAAAACCTTGTGAAGACTTACAGAAAACGTTTGACCTGTGTCATTGCCAACAAAGGGTATATAACAAAGTATTGAGAAACTTTTGTTATTGACCAAATACTTATTTTCCACCATAATTTGCAAATAAATTCATTAAAAATCCTACAATGTGATTTTCTGGATTTTTTTTTCTCATTTTGTCTGTCATAGTTGACGTGTACCTATGATGAAAATTACAGGCCTCTCTCATCTTTTTAAGTGGGAGAACTTGCACAATTGGTGGCTGACTAAATACTTTTTTCCCCCACTGTCTGTATTCACCCCCTTTGCTATGAAGCCCCTAAATAAGATATGGTGCAACCAATTACCTTCAGAAGTCACATAATTAGTTAAATAAAGTCCATCTGTGTGCAATCTAAGTGTCACATGATCTGTCACATAATCTCAGTATATATACACCTGTTCTGAAAGGCCCCAGAGTCTGCAACACCACTAAGCAAGGGGCACCACCAAGTAAGCGGCACCATGAAGACCAAGGAGCTCTCCAAACAGGTCAGGGACAAAGTTGTGGAGAAGTACAGATCAGGGTTGGGTTATAAAAAAAAGCTGAAACTTTGAACATCCCACAGAGAACCATTAAATCCATTATTAAAAAATTGAAAGAATATGGCACCACAACAAACCTGCAAGAGAGGGCCGCCCACCAAAACTCACGGACCAGGCAAGGAGGGCATTAATCAGAGAGGCAACAAAGAGACCAAAGATAACCCTGAAGGAGCTGCAAAGCTCCACAGCGGAGATTGGTCCATAGGACCACTTTAAGCAGTACACTCCACAGAGCTGGGCTTTACAGAAGAGTGAAAAAAGCCATTGCTTAAAGAAAAGAATAAGCAAACACGTTTGGTGTTCGCCAAAAGGCATGTGGGAGACTCCCCAAACATATGGAAGAAGGTACTCTGGTCAGATGAGACTAATATTGAGCTTTTTGGCCATCAAGGAAAACGCTATATCTGGCGCAAACCCAACACCTCTCATCACCCCGAGAACACCATCCCCACAGTGAAGCATGGTAGTGGCAGCATCATGCTGTGGGGTATGTTTTTCATCGGCAGGGACTGGGAAACTGGTCAGAATTGAAGGAATGATGGATGGCGCTAAATACAGGGAAATTCTTGAGGGAAACCTGTTTCAGTCTTCCAGAGATCTGAGACTCGGACGGAGGTTCACCTTCAGCAGGACAATGACCCTAAGCATACTGCTAAAGCAACACTTGAGTGGTTTAAGGGGAAACATTTAAATGTCTTGGAATGGCCTGGTCAAAGCCCAGACCTCAATCCAATTGAGAATCTGTGGTATGACTTAAAGATTGCTGTACACCAGCGGAACCCATCCAACTTGAAGGAGCTGGAGCAGTTTTCCCTTAAAGAATGGGCAACAATCCCAGTGGCTAGATGTGCCAAGCTTATAGAGACATACCCCAAGAGACCTGCTGCTGTAATTGCTGCAAAAGGTGGCTCTACAAAGTATTGACTTTGGGGGGGTGAATAGTTATGCACGCACAAGTTTTCTGTTTTTTTGTCTTATTTCTTATTTGTTTCACAAAAAAATTATAATTGCATATTCAAAGTGGTAGGCATGTTGTGTAAATCAAATGATACAAACCCCTCAAAAATCAAATTTAATTCCAGGTTGTAAGGCAACAAAATAGGAAAAATGCCAACGGGGGTGAATTCTTTCGCAAGCCACTGTATCTACTGCTTGGATAGTTCCATCTGGGCCACTAGCTTAATCCTATTCTTTAACTTTTATTTTTGGTTGAGATGGAGACGAGAATCCAACATATAATTGGTTAACTTGTCGACAAGTTATTAGGCTATTTACCATATTGCAAAAGTGATATTGAATTGTGTTTGGTTGTCAACACAACCAAATATCTACTTTTGAAGGAGGTGCATCTTCTGCTTGGATAGCACCATCTGTGCCACTGAGTTTCGCTTCAATTCCAGTTTGACAACAAATTAATAATCTTTATGTTGGAGTCACGTCTCCATTTCAACCAAACAATATATGTTAAAGAATAGGACAAAAAAATCAAATCAAACTTTAAATTAACTTTAAATTCAGTTTTATTTGATTTAATCCTATTCTTCAACTTTTAATTTTGGTTGAGATGGAGATGTGAATCCAACATATTTATTATTCATTTCAAATCAACCAAAGCTTGAAACCCTAGGCTTATATTTATTGTCTATTTTTAGTTGAATCCTTGGCTGAATTTAAACAATAGCTGTTGATTACTTCCCAAATGCTATATAGGCCTAAATTGCATCATTGATGATATACAGAATGATTGATAAAGTATGGTTAAATTTCATTTGCTCTGTGAACCTACCCTTTGGAATGACTTTGATAGCAACAGTGAGATTTCTCAACAATCATTCTCACGATAGCAAATTGGTAAAGACAGACTCTCTAAACTCGCATGACAATCGTGTGCCGTATTCTATAGCTGTAATCTTAGATCCCATAACCACATTTCATGCTAGTTAGCTATCTAAATTTTCTAAATTTTGTCGGTCACCAGAGATCAGCCTCGATGTTGCAGTGGGTTACTAATTGTGTCTTTGTCATTGGGTCTTCCTTTGACAGCTATGTCATGATGATGGCGTTCAAGCGCCAGGTGCTGGTGGAGTTTGAAGCCATGGAGAGTGCCGACCAGTGCGTGACATGCAGCGCCAATAAAGTGGTCCTGTATGGCCCAGTTGGTAGTGCATGGCGCTTGAAACGCCAGGATTGTGGGTTCGATTCCCTGGGCCACCCACAGGGCCACCCACATGTAAAATGTATGCACACATGACTGTAAGTCACTTTGGATAAAAGCATCTGCTAAATGGCATATATATTATTATATTATGGTAATAGTCAGTGACAAATATCAAGGCTAAGCAAGGCTTGGTTAAAACCCTGGATGGGAGACCGAAGGAATAGCTGTAGATAGATCAACTGTCCAGTAAGAGGTGCTGCCCAGCCTATTGCTTTTTTTCTTATAGTGGATGTTGAAGATCTGACGTTGTTTCAAAGGTACAAATTCAACATATTTTATACAAGGTTTGTCTATGTTGAAAATTGGTTACCATGATGACATAATCCTGTGGTTGAAATGTTACCCCTCAAAACAACTATTGATGACATTTTTCAAATCCAATGTATTTTCCACGTAGATTCCACATCACAATATGTTAACAAATGATGTTGAAACAACGTTGATTTAACCAGCTTGTGCCCAGTGGGTTGACTACCGTAAGTTAAACTATTGAAAGCTAAACCATTGTAAACTAAACCATCGTCAACTAAACCATAGTGATCTAAACTATTGTCAACATTGTAAACTCAACCATTGCACTGAACTGGCATGAAGTTCATGAACTCACAGTGGTGATGGGATAGAGAGGGTTCTGAATGGACAGGAGCAGGACTTTGTTGCCACTGTTGGGGTCATCGGCGTTAGTTGGCCGCGTGATCCTCTTGCTGGTGGAGTAGTTGAAGAAGGCCTGCTGGCCGGCAATGTTGACCGCTTCGTTGGTGCCGCATGTCACGCACTGGTCGGCGCTCTCCATAGCTTCAAACTCCACCAGCGCCTGACGCTTGAACGGCATCATCATGACGTAGCTGTCAAAGGAAGACCCAATGACAAAGACACAATTAGTAACCCACTGCAACATCGAGGCTGATCTCTGGTGACCGACGAAATTTAGAAAATGTTGATAGCTACCTAGCATGAAATGCAGTTATGGGTTCTGAGATGACATCTATAGAATACGGCACACGATTGTCGTGCGAGTTTCATTATTTTGTCTCATGACAGAGAAAACGTTTCCTATCCCTGTTTATTGGATGCTGTGCGACACTCGACAAAAAAATCAGACTGTCATGCAATATCTGTTGAAAACAGTGATAGTGTAAACTAGCTTGAAACTACCTGTCATCTTGCTTCCAAAGAGAACCACAATGGAAATAAGCCTTAGGGCTTTTCATCCTTAATACTGTTTCATGTAATGTTGTCACCGGCTGGAGCAGGCCTGCTACTTTTAATGATCTAATCAATTAAATCAATCAATAAATCAATCAACAAACCTTGTTTCAGTCATGTTACAGACATTTGATGATTGTCAAGCAACAATCCATGTTCTTACTTCTCAATCAATCCAAAGAAAATTATGACCCTTTTTTACAACAACAACAACCCAAAAAACAATGGTTACAACATTTGTCACAAAGTGCTTTACAGTAACTCAGCCTAGCCCCCAAAAAGCAAGCAAAAGGAAAAAACTCCCTAAAAGGAAGACACCTTCATCCATTGATGTACAATCCACAACCATACTATCATCCTCATAACTTTAGAATTAGTAAGCAACAAGCCCTACGTCTAATATATCTCTTTACACAGCTCTCCTTTGGCAACAATCATATCAATCAGAATCAGCATTCACGAATCATCTACACCCTGCCACGGGAAACAGAGACAGCATTCATACACAGTAAGAATCCCCACACACTGAAGACCTAGCCAGTGTTTCACACAGTGGCCCATATTCAATTTTAGCTCCCCAATTCCCTAGTTAGATCACTCAATGTTTTTCTTATACAGACTCCATGCAGTGCTGGTAAAATAAAAGTAGAAATTTGTCTTGTCTAACAGAACCTCAAACCAAACTGAGGTAACATTTGTGGAGAGATTATAACACGGCAGATAGAAACCAAACTCTTTGTAAGTTATTGCCTCTCTTAAGGTGCTGCTATTCACCACGCATTCTATTTTTGTTGAACTAGAAAGAGTTCAACATAAGTAAAACATAAAATGTCCCCCTGGTTACGCTTTATTTTACAGTCAACAACTATTCATCTAGCTAGTATCTTACATTATCTAATAAGAATGGCTGGTATTGAATGATTGTGATTATAAGACATTATAACTGCATTATACCCGCAGGCAAAAAATATATACCTTATTGTTTTTGAAACAACAACAAAAAGTACCAGATAATGCACTACTTAAATTGCAGACAGAGCACACTCTTCACCCCCATAAATAGCATTGCACAATAAAGCCTCCCCATCATTCTAATGTGAATGCTGTCCTTGAAGCTACTGTTTGAGTGGAGCTGACAGCTCACGTTCACCGTGTCACAATATGTCTGCCTATGGCGTACTCAGAGACCTACAGTATATCGATATTGCACCGACCTTAAAAATACCCTCGCCTGATCTCAATTCCGACTACAGCACAGGGAAACGTACCCTACCAGCGCACAAGTCAAGTCCTCTGCAATCAAATCCACATCCCATAATATCTTAAAAGCGGCGATCCCCCGAGTTACGGAAATATCAAGTGACACTGGGATGGATGGTGGCAGGAAGATATTTACAATAATCCCAGGCATATTGGCCCCGTACACACTCAGGTTGTAAAACTGATGTACAACGCATTTTACACAATGGTTGTGATACAACTGCTATGTTTGTGATACAATGGAGAGTTTGTCTGCATAAAAATGTTTACACAACCATTGTGCGGTGTCTCCACAAAACGTGTGTATCAATACTTTTGTGCAGAAAAACTCTCCCTTGTGTCACCACCGTTGTGCCGAATGCGTTGTATATCAGTTGAGCAACTTGAGTGCGTCTACGGGGTCATTGTCATTTTTTCCAAATTTCACCCAAATTCACCTCGACTTCAAATCAAAACGTTCTTGATTCTCTAAGTGAACGTGAAGGGGCTCTGCAAATAAGCCTCTGCTGTGTATTCCCCGTTGTGTGAGTGCCTCAAATGAGACTTCCCCAGCCAGTCCCATGCAATAAGAGTATCATTATCATGTTTGTCCCCAGAGCACTTATACCCTTGAGTAAACATGTGTGGTCTGATGTTAAAAGCAGGCAATTTAGAGGACAGACATGAGCTAAAAATACAGGTCCTAAATGGCATACATTCAGGTTTTCCAAGCCCTTAATGGTCCTTTTCTACGAGAAATATGATAACCGGGAGATTGTTTTTGCATTTAAATGCATTAAAAATGGATTTCCAACACTGAAGAAATGGCAATGGGAGATAAAAAATCCAGAAAGAGGGAGTTGTATTCTTACAGGACAAAGAGTCCAATCCCATTGGCTTTGTTGGAGAAAAACAATCAAACTGCACACAGGGAAAAAATATGCATCTCAATACATTCTGTTGATGCGTTCAATCAGTGAGCTGCTCAGACGCATAATAGTATTAGAATACTAACTAACATGTATAGTAATATAGTAGTTGGCTCTTCCTGGTAAGTGAAAACTGAGTTACAGTAAGTGCAAATCTGAACTATGAATACAGTTATGTAATGCACTACAGTGCAGTACATTTAAAATATAGTACATTTAAAATAATCATATGCACATGCAACCATGTAATGGAAATGAGGCAAAAGATTGCCACATGTCCATCAAAGCAGAACAGACAACAAGAAATATCACCTACCAGATGTTGCCAAACTTCTCCAGGGCCTCCACCAGGTCCCCCTCCACCACTGACTCACAGAGCCCCCGCACGTGGACCACCGGAGAGGGGGCGATCCTGTGGGCATCCTCCCCATTGTCCTGGAGGAGAGAGGGGGGACAGCGGTCAAATGGGGTTGAAAGGTCAAAGGTCAAATGAGGTATACCACATGGATACATACGAAGGCCGCTTTCACAGCCAAGAAGGTTTAACATAACGTAAATGCAACCAAACACCAAAGTAATCGTCAGCATTGGCACTTAGTGCCTTTGACATGCTGTTAGAGTGTACAAGAAGTGAAATCGCATGTTCTCTTGTAACACTGTTTTCTGCATGTTTATAGTGAATTTGTTTGTGTTTTGTAGCAATGTTTGATTTGGTTTAGTTTGAATGACTTCAATCATTATTTTTTTATTTAACTCATTCTTGAGGCCTAAGGAAATTCAGCCTCTTCAGATTCCTTGACACGAGGGCCACTTACAGACCGGAAGTAAATACAGTGCATTCGGAAAGTATTCAGACCCCTTGACTTTTTCCACATTTACAGCCTTATTCTAAAATGGATTTTTTTTTAAATGTTCCTCATCAATCTACACACAATACCCCATAATGACAAATCGAAAACAGGTTTTTAGAAATGTTAGCAAATGTATTACAAATAAAAAACAGAAATACCTTTTTACATAAGTACTCAGACACTTTGCTATGAGACTGGAAATTGAGCTCCTGTTTCCATTGATCATCCTTGAGATTCTACAACTTGATTGGAGTCCACCTGTGGTAAATTCAATTGATTGGACATGATTTGGAAAGGCACACACCTGTCTATATAAGGTCCCACAGTTGACAGTGCATGTCAGAGCAAAAACCAAGCCATGAGGTCGAAGGAATTGTCCGTAGAGCTCAGAGACAGGATTGTGTCGAGGCACAGATCTGGGGAAGGATACCAAAACATTTCTGCAGCATTGAAGGTCCCCAAGAAAACAGTGGCCTCCATCATTCTTAAATGGAAGAAGTTTGAAACCACCAAGACTCTTCCTAGACTCTCAGACCATGAGAAACAAGATTCTCTGGTCTGATGAAACCAAGATTGAACTCTTTGGCCTGAATGCAAACGTCACGTCTGGAGGAAACCTGGCACCATCCCTACTGTGAAGCATGGTGGTGGCAGCATCATGCTGTGGGGATGTTTTTCAGCGGCAGGGACTGGGAGACTAGTCAGGATCGAGGGAAAGATGAAAGGAGCAAAGTACAGAGAGATCCTTGATGAAAACCTGCTCCAGAGCACTCAGGACCTCAGACTGGGGTGAAGGTTCACCTTCAAACAGGACCCTAAGCACACAGCCAAGACAATGCAGGAGTGACTTCGGGACAAGTCTCTGAATGTGCTCGAGTGGCCCAGCCAGAGCCCGGACTTGAACCCGATCGAACATCTCTGGAGAGACCTGAAAATAGCTGTGCAGCGATGCTCCCCATCCAACCTAACACAGCTTGAGAGGATCTGCAGAGAAGAATGGGAGAAACTCCCCAAATACAGGTGTGCCAAGCTTGTAGCGTCATACCCAAAACGACTTGAGGCTGTAATCGCTGCCAAAGGAGCTTCAACAAAGTACTGTGTAAAGGGTCTGAATACTTATGTAAATGTGATATTTCCGTTTTTTTTTTTTATACATCTGCAAACATTTCTAAAAACCTGTTTTTGCTTCATCATCATTTTACCCCATCATGGGGTATTGTCTGTAGATTGATGAGAATAAAAAAAAAAATCAATGTTAGAATAAGGCTGTAACGTAACAAAATGTGGAAAAAGTCAAGGGGTCTGAATACTTTCCGAATGCACTGTACTTCATTCATTCATTTTAGGCGAACAACTTGAGGCCCTCTCAGTAGAACTACTGATTTTCAGAGGGTTTCAGAGGTGAAAGAGAGAAAAGGAAAGAAATATCCGGATAAGAGAAAGGAATAGAGGGGTCTGAATACTTTCCGAATGCACTGTATATCCTTGTCTGTCACACAACCTAAATGTAACATAATTTAAGCCCAACTCTACTGCAAGCCGTCAGACTGTGGGTCCTTGTCTTGCAGCTGGATGTTGTTAAATCGCAGCACAGGCTGTTCAAATTAGTAGCGCTTCACACCTGTTTTACAGTGCCTTCACACTTTTCTCAAAGTGAGGAAAATATGCTAATGATGAAAACCTTTAGGGGGAAGGACTTCTGAAATAGCAACTTGCTGAGCATGAGAATCACTTTGTAAACTGTTGCGCAACACCTTTGTAAGCTCTGTTTGAAAATTAATGAATGTTTACGTACATTCTTACATTTTAGCAGACGCTCTTATCCAGAGCGACTTACAGTTAGTGAGTGCATACATTTTTCATACTGATCCACCGTGTGAATCGAACCCACAACCCTGGCGTTGCAAGCGCCATGCTCTACCAACAGAGCTACACGGGACTATACGTATGACAGTACAAGCGGAATTGAAAGTAGCGGGAAACCATATTTGAATGCTCACCTGATACATTCATGTTGGACTGGCTATTCAGGGATTCAAATATGTATGTTGAAAAAAAAAAAGAAGAAAAGTGTTCTGAGTCACTGCCAATATTGCTTATATGCTTCACAGACCAACCATGGGATTAAGGTCTGGAGACTGGCTAGGCCACTCCAGGACCTTAATGTGCTTCTTCTTGAGCCACTCCTTTGTTGCCTTGGCCATGTGTTTTGGGTCATTGTCATGCTGGAATACCCATCCACGACCCATTTTCAATGCCCTGGCAGAGGGAAGGAGGTTCTCACCCAAGGTTTGACGGTACATGGCCCCGTTCATCATCCATTTGATGTGGTGAAGTTGTCCTGTCCCCTTAGCAGAAAAACACCCCCAAAGCATAATGTTTCCACCTCTATGTTTGATGGTGGGGATGGTGTTCTTGGGGTCATTCCTCCTCCTCCAAACACGGCGAGTTGAGTTGATGCCAAAGAGCTCGATTTTGGTCTCATCTGACCACAACACTTTCACCCAATTCTCCTCTGAATCATTCAGATGTTCATTGGCAAACTTCAGACGGGCCTGTATATGTGCCTTCTTGAGCAGGGGAACCTTGCGGGCGCTGCAGGATTTCAGTCCTTCACGGCGTAGTGTGTTACCAATTGTTTTCTTGGTGACTATGGTCCCAGCTGCTTTGAGATCATTGACAAGATCCTCCCGTGTAGTTCTGGGCTGATTCCTCACCGTTCTCATAATCATTGCAACTCCACCAGGTGAGATCTTGCATGGAGCCCCAGGCTGAGGGAGATTGACAGGTCTTTTGTGTTTCTACCATTTGCGAATAATCGCACCAACTGTTGTCACCTTCTCACCAAGCTGCTTGGCGATGGTCTTGTAGCCCATTCCAACCTTGTGTAGGTCTACAATCTTGTCCCTGACATCCTTGGAGAGCTCTTTGGTCTTGGCCATGGTGGAGAGTTTGGAATCTGATTGATTGATCGCTTCTGTGGACAGGTGTCTTTTATACAGGTAACAAGCTGAGATTAGGATTCGTTACCTGTATAAAATACTTTCTGATTGAGAGGGGGTCAAATACTTATTTCCCTCATTAAAATGTAAATCAATTTATAACATTTTTGACATGCTTTTAAATGCAAGTCTTGCAACAGTACCAAAAGCTGATATCTAAAAATTACACAATTAATATGTGAATGAACGCTGTACATTCAAAAAGCTTTTCTTAGACTCCAATTAAATTGGATAACAGATTACAAACAATGAGGAAAAGCACATAAAAAAAACTAATTAAAAGCAAGTATCCACTAAAAGCCGCTATGAAACAAGAGGAGTAAAATTGGGGAGACCAATATGAAATTACTATAAAACCACTTCACAATGAATTAATGACCTCAGCCGATTTTAAGTAATGAGATTTTTAAATAATCACAATGAACCAAAAAAACAGCAGCTGCAGTGAACAGGTTATAGCATCCATTCGTATAATCTTCCAAATGGATGCAATATGTTGGGAATTAAGAAACAAGTCACCCTGATGAGACTGGAGCTACTGTACATAAGAAAATAAGCTAACAGTAATTGTAATCAGACAGCAAAGCGTCTGCTCTACAACAAAACAGATCGTCTGACATCCAGTCTCCCGTATTCTCAAGACAACTTGGGCTGCCTTGTTTCCACCATAGCCCGACTTTGAGAAACCGCATTGACAAGGGCCACAGCACTTCTGAGGCAACCAATTACTTGGCCCTCTTCTTTGTTCGACGCTAGCTCTTCCAGAAGTCCAGGACGGTTCATTACTGGAGCTGTCCGTTGCGACAAATTCCTCCCCTGTCTAGTCTAGCCCTCCATGCGCTCTGGGACAACGCTGAGCCCCACACGCCTCTACTTCAGACACAGAGACAAATTCAATCCTCACCGACAGGCACTGCGCTTAAGACGAGATTTGTTTACAATTGACCACATTCTTACCCACAGCCTCTCTAGAAAGATTCGTACCGATTCACCACCCTTCTCCCGAAGTGTGCACTTGCACACTTTCTTCCATGGATTTAACAATGATAGACACTCCCTACAGCCAATGCTTACACCAATCATTAGCTTTTAAATCCATGATGGGAAGTGTGTGAGTGCACACTTTTGGAAAAGTGTGGAGAATCAGGACGCAGTCAAACGTCTCTGGAAATGAAATAACTAAAATAAGCTCTAGAAATGACAACCGCAATCCAGGGACGGTGTTTGTCTGAATAAAAACGTCAATTCATTCCGAAAGCAATGTGTAGCTCAACAAGCTCCTGTAAAGACACTGATATATTCATATCCCTTTCCTGGTGATCTCTTTAATGCTCGGGAACTTGGAGAGTGGGAAAAAAACATGCAAAACTGTCGCCTGTCACAGTGGTAAATGAAAGCTTCAAGTTTATTTTGTGCGGTTCTATGACACGTTGAGACAGATGACGGATAATAGAATAAGTGGTGTGCTTTTCGCTGGGGTAAAATTAAGCATAGAAACTATTTCAAAAGCCGCTTTTTGGCTCTCGAGCAGCTGCTGTTTGGAAAATATCTGAGCTGTCTTCTTTTGATGCCTGCACTTGAACACAGTCAGGCATACCTACCACTACTTTAACTACCCAAACGTTCAAGGGTGTCTTAAAAACTGAAAGTATCTCTCTGTACCTTTCATTCTTCCATTTCTTTCTTTCCTTGTTCC